CATCCTGGGAGTTTCATTGGTAAATATTTGATGTTGACTCTATTATAATGTTGTGTGAGGATTAGAAAGCATGTTTCCAGTTTCCCTTCTTTCTTTTTATCCCTTCCTCTCTTCTTTCCTTCCTTCCTTCTCCTTTTCTTTCCTTCTTTCCTTTCTTACATCATTTATTTATCAGTTATTAATTTGTCTTACATAAATGAAGTAGTTTGACTTGCAATTGATCTTAAACCTTAAGGATAAGAATTGAGGATTGTTGAGTGTGGGAAAAGGGGCCAGGGATTATTTCCCCAAACTATAGAAATATCACATGAGAGGATTAGAGGTGCCGTATACATCCAACAAATGTCCTTCTTGCCTCAGAGATCTTCAAACAGAGTTTGCAAGCATATCTAGGATAGTACATGACTTCTCTTGACTTCCATCCCAAATTCACGTAAAACCTGATTGAGCTAATGTACAAGCTTCTAACACTCACCAGACCCCAAGGCAGGAACACAAGCTCTGTGGATCATGGTGCAGCTGGGGCTTTGTGCAGCTCCCTGCCTTGAGCATAATGCCAAGTGAGCAGGTTAATAAAGCACTGTTTCTCGCTCTCCCTGGAGGCCAGAGCCCTATAGTATAGGACCTCAGGGGAACATCAAATGTGCAAATGCCAGACAGACTGTCTGTTGCTAATAATTGTGGATCTTTGCCAGCTCTCCAAATGATATCTAATACAAGCTTAGAACAGACTTTCAGTTCTGCTTTAAACTTCCTTTCTTCTGTTCCCAGCCTAAGACCTTAGCTCCTTAGAGAAGGAAGTTATCACATAGACCATAGCTATTCTGGTCCCAGAACTGAGTGAAGCAGACCTGTCTCATTTACTCATTTCTTGTATGCATCTTCAGGAGTATGCCATCACCTCATTGGACATGTGTTAGAAATCTTCAGCATGTGGGAAATATGATTAGCTTCTAATGTGGCCTAGAAAGGATTCTAATCCTAGATGACAAATAACAAAAAAGACTAGAATTGTCAATTCAAAACTAGATGAGCACTATCATTGGCCCTTAAATGATAAGGAGAATATTTAAGGAAGAGACCACAGCTGGAACAATTGTAATAACTTGTTAGAGATACAGCAGTTAGTTAAACAAGAAGGCTACTGATTTCAGAGGAAACAATCAGAAATTATTTGAGCTAGAAAATCATCAAAGAATAATAGTGGTAGTTGTAAGTGAAGAGGCTTAAACAAGTATGGAACACATACATGTTTGCACTTTGAAAGCTATTTTCTGTTCTGGTTGGATTTGTTTGAGAATGAAGGCAGAAAAGCTGACAAGCAGAATGGTTTAAAAATCAACTTCATTATTAAGTATAAATAATTGTAAATAAAGACAAATTTATATATGCATAATATAAATAAATATAAACTGAGTCAGGAGCAGTAGAAATGTAAAAGTGGGGGTTGTTCGGAATATATTAAGAAAATAAAATCTACAATATTGGTAAATGATTGGAAATTGTGAGTGAAGGGACAATGGGGAGCATGTGTGGCATAGTTCATACTTTTGGTTGGAGTAAGGAAGGGAATGAAGATGCCATTCACATAAATGGAGAACACAGGAGTGGGAACAGGAGGAAGAAGCAGTTGGGTATAACACAGTAGACAGTAAGTTGGACACTGGACTTGCTGGGTTTAAGCTTTCCTTGCAGCATACAAAGGGAATGATCCAGGAGTGGCAGGTATGAACCTGTCTGCAGTTCAGGAGAAAGGATGAGTTTAAGATTAAGGAGAGCAATATTTGTATTCAAGGGGTTGGAACAGGCAGTAAAGCCAGAAAATGCAATGAATAAAATTACTAGAGAGATCAGAGAATAACCAAAAGAGAGAGGTGTTACAGAAACCACAAAATACATATTTTTAATAACAAGGGAAGGAACAGTAGTGTCAAATATTGGTAAGAGGTCCAGTGATGAGGAGACAGGATATGAAATAGGCTATTTGATATGGGTACTTAGAGTTCATTCATGATGCTTGCCCAAGCAATTTCAATGGAATAATAGATAAAATTGATGGAGTTAAGAGGAAACAATTTTTAGTCCAATTTTATAACAAGTAAAGTGGGCTTCTGGGGATGTGTCCTTATGTAGTCATGATAAACAATGAAATGANATTCGTATAGTGTCTAAAACGTGGAAAAGGTGAAAAAAAATACCTCTCCTCCTAGAACTTCCAGAAGCAACACAGGCTGTGATTTGACCCTTATAATGCTCATTTCATACTTGTGAACTCCAGATATAAGAAATAAATAAGCTTGCATTGTTTTGAGACACTAAATTTATGTTTACTTTTTACAGCAGACATAGGAAACTAATACAATGGTTGCCATAGATTTAGAGATGTGTGCATGTTTAAGAGACTGGAACTAGCAATCTCAAGGTCAGATCAGGTGCTGTGATTCATCTTGTTTTTTGTAGGCTGACATTACACTTGTAGATGATATCTTATTCTCTAAGCCTAATTCCTTCAGATTTTGAAAATCTCATTAAGTATTCTTATCTTCTTGACAATAGAATTATCTGCATGGGTTCAATAAGAGTCTGTCCTCTTTTTTACCATGATTTAATTGGAAATATTGGTTATGGAACAAATCTTTGCCTAAAATGTCATATTTCAGATGATTCTCATTTAATCAGATATGAAGAGAAGCTTTTAAGGAACTAAGAAAACCTGAGATAGTCAATGCCTCCCAGACCATCCCAGGAGAACTCGCCTGAGTCTTGGCTTCCAGAGTTACCAGTCTTCCCTGTGAGTTAAGGAAAGTCAGTGCTACTCAAAACTAGGAATCTCGGGGTATTTGGGTGATTGCAAGAAAAGAGGAATTTCCCCAAATTTACATATCCTGTGGGTGAAATCTGGTAACAAATCCTTGGCTTGGCTTCCTAGAATGAGAACAGCAAATAAAAAGAAGCATTTTAAAGTCCAATCTAAGATTACTTCTGATACTTCCAACAAAGCAGGTTTAGAAGGTGAATATGATAATTAGTATTCTTGCTACAACTATGGAAATAATCAGGCCACATCAAAGTTTACCTGTCTTACTGTATGATCAAGAATAATTCTTGAGATTATTTTTAATCAAAAAGGGGGAACACTATAAAAAATTTTGTATGTGTTTCACTGGAAAATTATGCCTTGTCTATAGCACCATCCTCCAGATGATCACATCCAGCTTTGTTCACAGCCTTATTTTACAGCTCTGTAAATTGTAATTCATATACATGCAAAATTTCTCTTGTCCTGCATAGTTTCAAATTGTCTTATTTAAAATTCTGTGGGAAAAGAAAAATTATGTCTCTATTTGCAATTGTTTGCAACATTCCTTTATTTCACATCAAGTAGTGATATTTTGACATTTCCTTTAAACAAATTCCCTTCGAACAGATTCTCCTTCAAAAATCTAACTGCCTCATATATGAATAAATTAAAAACATTTAACACACTCCTCTTATGAGATCATAGTCTTTCTCTTTTCTATCAATAATCTTTAATAATTGTTTATTGTGCTTTTCCAAATATTTCGTACTGTACTCAACATAGAAAATTCATCATTCAAACAATGATATAATTGGGAATAAAACAGGCTATCACAGATGTAATGTTGATAGTGATAATACTGAAGAGAATAACAATGATCATGGTGATCATAAAGATGGTAACATTGATAATAATTAAATGGAAAAATGAAACCCTACCCAAATTTTTACCTGGAGTTTCCTTTTATCTGTGACCTATATAGAAAACGAAGAAGTTTTTTTTTTTTGCATTTCAGCTAAAGAGCTTTGACTATTTACTCTGAAGTACATAGAGTGGAAAGATACCATATGGTACCAATTAGGATGTGGAAGGAGATTTTTTGAAGGAAAGACTCTTAAAATAACTTGCAAAGAGGATGATCAATAAATAGGAAACATTTTTATAAATACAAGTAAATGATAAAGAAGACAATGTCTATGGCACTTAGGGAAATCAAAACAAGGAAAGGTGCAAAGTGTTTATTTGCTATGATGACATATGCATGTGAATGAAATATAGACCACTATTTGAATAATGCACACATTTTAAACTCAACTGCATATCACTGTATTAAATTTAACCAGATACAGCATTGCTTTTAAACTGTCACATGAGCTGTGCATACAGAAAAGTATGACATCTATTTTGTCAAATAGATTTGACAAAAATAATTCAATAATTTTCATTCATTTTCGTGACATAGCTTCTAGACAGTTGCAAGATAATTACAGGTCAAGGATGTCACTATTACTTCCATCCATTGATAAGATGAGGTGCAGACTGTAAAATAATTATTTGGCTTTATTATCATTTTAGAAATGATTTTTCTATTTCTACCCTCTGAGTTCTTCGGTGTTTTTTTCTTTTTTTAAATCTTGCCTTTTTGTTGAGTGTTCTCACAGGAATTAATGATCCCAACTTCATTTTACCTAACTTCCTACTTACCTGCTCTAAATAATCAACATTGTTTTATGAGATGTCTCAAACTTATTTAACATACAGAATAGGGAAAGCTCAAAGAAAAGAGAGCCTTACATGTGTAGAAAATTTTTGGCTTAAATACTAGTGTATTTAATGGAACTGATACTAAATTACAGTGATGAATAGGCATAGGACAAGGAGTAATGAAAATAATGTGTTTCTTAGAGAAGAAAAGAATAGTACAATTGTAAACAACTTCCAAAATTTGAGGCAAAAAGTAACTGGCAGTCTGAAAAGAAATTAGATAAACAAAATTTACATGATAAATTTAAGCAAAGACTATGCTGAAACCAAAAGTCATAGCTAGTGTAAATTGAGAAAATAAAATATATTAGTTCTTTTTACTTCTTTGTGTTATGTATAAAAGGATAGACAAAGAAAAGTAATTTCATTTAGGAAAGTTGGAATAGTGATTATTTACCATGATATCTATTTCCAGAATTTACATTAGAAATGCTGTTCAGGATTCTTCAGGTCCTTTTTTGATAAAATGTTTAAGGATTTTGTCTCGTATCTGCTTCATTTTCACCACATAGACAATAGGGTTTATCACAGGGGGAATGAGAAAATGCATGTTGGCTATGAGTACATAGATGCTTTTGGGAAACCTTGGTCCAAATCAATAAAGTATAGACAGGCAGATCATGGGTGTGAAGAAGAGGACCACAGCACAGAGGTGGGAAATACAAGTGTTAAGAGCCTTTAGACAGCCACCATGGGATGCAATGCTCAGTACAGTTTTCAAAATCAACAGGTAGGAAAGGAGAATGTGGAGAAAATCAAGTCCCATGTTGGGAAGCACCATAAAGAGTCCAAAGATGCTATTGATCCTAGTGTTAGAACAGGAGAGTTTTAAGATGTCAAGATGCAGGCAGTAGGAATGAGAAAGTACATTGGAGCGACAGAAGCACAGACTCCTCAAGAGGATAGGGAGGGGTATCTGTGCAATCATGGCTCTCACTATAATGGCCAAACCTATCCTGGCAATTACACTATTGGTGAGGATGGAGGCATAGTGCAATGGACGAGAAATGGCCACATAGCGGTCAAAGGCCATTGCCAATATGATAGCTGACTCGAAATCCTGGAAAGTGTGAATAAAAAACATTTGGGTGAAGCAAGCTGAGAGAGTGAACTCTCGAGCATCCAGCCAGAAGATCCTCAGCAGTGAAGGAAAGGTGAAAAGGGACAGACCCAGATCAGAGGCAGCCAGCATGGCCAGGAAGAGGTACATAGGCACATGGAGGGTCTGTTCCTTCCAGATAACCGTCATGATGATCCCGTTGCCCACCAAGGTAATGAAGAACATGGCACAGAAGGGTATGGAGATCCAGATGTGCACAGCCTCCAGCCCAGGGATGCCTGTCACCAGGAAGGTGGAGAATGTGGACTTGGTGCTGTTGAAGGGAAACATGATGCCAGAGCTGCAAGCCTTTCCTGGAATGAAATTCATTGTCCCACAAACAGATGTCAAAATTTGATTATGTATTTTTTACACTCTGAGTGCATATACCTGGAATAAATGACTACTAACCTTATGAAAAGTTCTCTTTGAAACTGACCCTGACTCTTTGTGTGATACTCTTCTATAAAATATGAGTCTAAACTAGAAATATCTTCTCGTTGAGTAAATTCTCCAGATGTGTTAGTTAACTGAAAGGAGAAAAAATTGTCTACTTTTTGTTTCTATGAGTCTGACTATTTTAGATTCCTCATGTAAGTTATATCATGCAGTATTTGTTCTGTATCTGGCTTCTTTCACCTAGTATAACATCCTCCAGGTTCACCCACATTGTTGCAAATGGCAGAATTTCCTTCTTTTTTAAGTCTGAATTATAGTCCATTGTACATATCTGTCACATTTTTCTTTACCCATTCATACGCTGATGGATGATTAGTTGTAATTTACATAAATCATAAAATTATTAAAATGACATCTTAGATTGCAAAATTCAAAATAATTTTTAAATGAAATCCTCAATAAAATAATGCAGACTAATGCCTTATAATTACAGTAGCACACTATTCTATGGAATTTATCTGCCTTGGACTACAGTGATGTAGGTAAGACTAGTAATGAATAGGTAATTTTGACCTGCTCTTTTTCTGCAAATAGATGAGTGGAGAAATTAAAAATAGTCATTTGGAAAATGTTGTATGCAATTAACATAATACTGTTTCTCTTCTTCAAAATAAAATACTAGATTTGTATTTTGGGTGTATTTTTATTTTTCACATTTCATTTTTATTTATATTTTACCATGAAATAAACAGTATATGCACACTTTTCACATCCATAGGCAGTCATTCCCATAAACCTGTGCATATACTAATCATTTTAATTTCTCGCATATCCTCACCCACTAATGGCATTGCTGATATTTGTTTTGTGTGGGCCTTTATGGAGATACGCATTTCAAAATCTTCATTGTCTGCAAGGAATTATANCAAATTTTATTGACAAAGTGAGAAGCCTGTTTAAATTTTAATTACCATACAATATGTTAGAGGTGAGACTATTTTCATGTCTATGTTTCAAAAACTTATTATCAGATAAAATCGGTATGGATACACTAAGTCCCCTTCGCACGAATAGCAAAGTACACATTTTTTTTTTGAGTCCATCCCTTACTAGATTCTCTATTCATGAAAGCAAATAGAAATTACCTGTATATTCTTCATATCGTATGCAGTCATCCCCACAAACATGCCTTACAATATTTGCATATACTAATTGGCTATCACCTACTGTCACTTGCTAATGTCATTTTTGATACTGTTTGTGGCCTTTGTATTGATGTGCACTTCCAAATCTTCATTCCCTGAATGGAGCCTAGCTGTGGTGGCCTGAGTATTTCCCAGCTGCTCCTATTCAAATTCCTTCTGAAGTCTAATTTTTGGTTAGAATCGGATTCTTAAAGGAAATATTAATAATGATAATAAAGCTCTTCTTAGAGTCTCACTACATAAACCTGTTATCGAGAATAAGAAGCATAAAAATCCTGTCCACTTGTCCCTGCTTTCATTTGGCATGCGGGTCAATTTTTTCAAAATCTCAACCCAAGTCGATTTGGATGAGACTTTAAAGGATAATAAGAAGGGATTAACTAAAATTCTATGCATTGTCTTAAAATATTAAGTTGAAATTAGCTTCAGAAATTGTATTACATTTTTTTCATCTTAAATTTTGTTAGAAAGGTTAGAGAAGATGTTGGGATGAGAGAGTTCAACAGAGAGAGAAACTCACTCTGTTGGGTACAAGCACATTCCGCTTAGTCCAATCATTATACCTTCTCATGGTAAGAGCCTGGTGCCATGTTCTTGCCTTTTCTTATCCATGGGTTTTTAAGCATTTTCAGAATCTGTACTCATGGCCAGTGTTATCATGGGTGTGGAAAGTTCTACACTTCTGTAATTCAGGAAAACATTAAACTCACTTCCTTTTATTTGGTTCAATACCATGGTTCAAATATCTCAGGTTATTGAGGGAGGTAAATTAGGGATATTCTCACAGTAAAAAACACCTCTAATCCCCTGTAATTCCTTGTATTGCAGGCTAAAGTTTCTCTATTAAGTAATTTATCCAAAGTCTCTTTGGTCTTAGCCCTTTTATAAGTGCAGGTTAACAATATCTTCTCTCTTACCAGGCATCTTAAGGCAGAGCGTTTGCTAATGCCCTGTGGGAGCTTCTCTTTCCAGGTCTAAAATCAAGAATCCCTGTGTCCTGGTTTGAGTTTCTTTATTATTCATGCAGTTATCCCCTGAGACTAGTCACTCCTGGGAAGTCCCCTTCTCTTCTTGATTTAAAGTCTATTTTCATTACTTCCCAGGAATGGTCCACAAAGAGCCCAACTACTGTTTTTTTTTAATCAGGTGAATTGAAAATTACTCAGTAAGTTTTAATGTTATCTCCATTCACTCTGAAGTTAATACTTCTTTTAAAATGTAATATTTGCATTGGGGATTTTTCATGTCTTCTTCATCACAGGCATCTGTTTGAATTCTACTACTGTTCATTCAATATTATATGTTTCAGATGTGAAACCCTATTGACTATATGTTCAAATTACCTTAGAATTCTGAAATGATAAAACATATGTGCTTTCCTGTGCTCATTGCACACACACACACACACACACTCCAAGCATACGCCAGTCACTTTACACAAATACACATACCTGTGTGTCAAGAGATCTGCTTGTCATGTAGTTTCAAATAAGAACATAGACACGATCTTTCAGGCTAGCAAAACCTACATGATACAGATTCAATGACATTCAGAGAGTAGTCAGATTTCCATTAACTCTGCTAGGAATATTGTGGCAAAAGCAAGAGATCCTCCTTATGACAAGTCATGCTTGGGAACTTAAAAAACACTTTTTCTTTGATGCTAAGTATTTCTTTTTCTCTTCTATAGAGGAGAAAAAAAATCATATGGAAATCACTTACGTGCACAAGTTGATTGATTAGCTACCTCCAGTGATTCTTCTCAATCTGAGGCTTTCTATACTGATAATAACATTGTGAATTAAAGTCACTATGGAAAATAAAGTATCATACAGAAGGCCATATTATCCAAAGTAGCTTACCAGTTTTCTGAGTATTTTTGTCATTGTTTTTATTTTTTGTTTGTTTCATGGAATATATAGTCATTACAATTAGGCATTATAATTAATAATCTGTTAACTCATTCCATTTTCTTTGTGATTTAGATTAAAATAGAATAGAAAATTTCCTTTCTACTCAAAGTCGTGAAGAACTTTGGGAAAATATTAGTTAAATGAGGGACAGAGAACAAGAGAAAGATATCCCTGTATAAATGATTCCTAAAATGTGAGGACAGATTTTTAGATGAGATGTTCAAATGTATAGTGTTTGACTACCTCCAAAAAAGGAATTATTTCTTATCCCTATTTTTTATTTTCTATTAATTCATTCTATATACCAAAGCCTAGCACAGAAAGGACATGAAATTAATGCTGTGGCAATATTTTTTAATTCAGCAATATACTATTTATTCAAAATATGTATTGAACAACTGTGCATATTAAAGTATTTAATGGCTGTATGTGTACTTGAGACATAGCAGTGAAAATGACCATATAAAATGGCATTACAAAATATATCGATAAATTTAATCTTTCAGGGGCCTTCAAGAATAATTAAATATATATAGAATATCAGAGTTGGACTAGGCACCATACACCATCCAACTACAATTTTACTAAATGTAAAAGTTCCTTCTATTCTTATAAGTGAAATGGTTAACAGAACTGAGAATACACAGATCCACATAGATTATTCTATCCAGGTTATGAACTGTGGATACTGGTGTCAGCTTTCTTGTTTTTTCTAGAAAATTCTTACACAGAGGTAAAGATGTAAAGCAATAAATAACTTTACCGTTTGTTTCATTGAATTCCTGAAAATAAACTTATTCAAACAATCATTATATATCCTCTTGGCAAGTATAAATGATTTGAGAAAAACAGATTGCTCACATAAAGAAACAGCTTAGGTCACTTATCAAACAACAGTATTTATCAATACTGTCCTCACACTGCATACCACATTGTCTCCACCAAGTCTCAACTATTATGCCATAAACTTTACCCATTGTCATTCAGTCCCCAGCTTCAAAGAGATATCTCAGATACTGAGTTCAGATCACAAAACCCTATAAAGACCCCAGGCTGACCACCTTCTCCTGAAATACTACGACTATGTCATAGCGGTGTTCTCTCTTAACAGTTCAGGTAATAAACTATGGATCAAATTTATGCTTGCTGTCAACAAGAGTATCATTAAATTTACCCTGAAATAAAGACAGTTTTATTTGAGCCAAACTGAGGATTTAAACCCAGAAACATAACTTCCATGGGTAGGTAGAAGAAATGTTCCAAACAGCCTAAGACAAAGGGAGGTTTTACATCCTTGAGCAGATAGGTTAGAAAGACAGAACTTCGAAGGGTACATTTCATTTACATAAGATATTCTATGCCAAGTAAAAGAATCAGGGTGGATATACCTACTGGTACCAAAAGAAATTAAGTGGAAGAGCAAACATTCTTGCTGATCACATTTTACAGATTATTTTATTGGTGCTGATGGAAACTTCCTGATTAACTACATTCCTGAAAGAGTTTGAAACTGCAATTAGGTTAGGTATTTAGTCCTATTGATGACTTGACCTAGAGAAATGACTCCATGTAGGCCCTGTGTTTTCTTTTAAAATTGCCTTCCCACCATATTTTAAGACCCATACTTGAATCTCCTGTTTAGGGATTTCCATGATGCAAAAGTGAGGCAAATCTCATGTTATGTCTGAGCTCCAGTCTCTTTATATTTAGTTCCCAAATAACTAAGATTGCTTACATATTATTATGAATGAGGAAGATTTGTTTTTAAGTAATCCCTTCATATCTGATTGGATTGGAAAGCTTTTCTTTGATA